GATCAAATATACAGAGCTTTAAATATAGATTCATTTTTTGAACAGTTTTACATTTTGCCAGCTTGGCATTTTATTTCCGGACTATAAGCCGTTACTTTTTTCCCACGCTTTGAACCATGCGGGTTATGAGATGCAGCTTTTCTGTAGATCTTTCCTAAACCCTAGAGGAGGAAGTCAAAGTTGGAGAATGAGGGGCTAATTTTTATTTAGCACAAGAACATGGTAGAAGCAGGCATGACAGAGAAAAAAAAGCAAAAAATCAAAAAATTTGAAAATTAATTGCCCGAATAAAACCGCCAAAACAAAGAAAAAAACGGAACCAAACCCTGCAAAACCTGAAAAAAAAACCGAAAAAACCCCAATTTTTTAGTAGAAGATCTTATTGCTGCGAGCTAACAAGTTAACGGGAGCTAGCATTCTTATTCGTTCCTACTCCAGGTGCGATATGTAGAGCTCCTCCTACAGGTTTGGTGGGAGACAGTTCAGTAGATATGAGAGGCTTATAGCCCGGTACAGCTTTTCTATGCAAGTTTGCAGTTTTGTCAAAAAATGTAGTGGGCGTGGCTTATAGTGAAGTGCGCTCTGTAGTCCAGAAAATACAGTATCAGGGAACAAATCTCACAATAACTTACTTCCCACATTCCAGTGGCGTTGGGACTTACACCACCCCATCCGATGCTTTCCACAGGACTTGGTGTTATAAGGTTCGGATGCAACTGCTTGGTCATGAAGCGGTATTGCAAAAAGCTCTCTACCGATTGTTTTTAAGCCATTTTGAAGACCACATCGATTTTGGACCTCTGTAGCTATTGATTCCAAGGAAAGTTGATGACATTTGCTTTTTATGTAGCACAGAAACCTCTGATCCCTCTATATGAGCTTAAGACACAGGATAAGAATATTTGACTTGAAGAAATTTGATCAAGGACAAAAAAACATTTAGTTCTTATGCTCTGTTTTCCAGGAACCAATTTCCAGTTATTGTGAAAGTGCTGAAACCCTAAGTTTATTTAGTTTAATGTGAAGCAAAAAAATGTGACGAGTTGTCTTTTTCTATTCTATTTAAACTGAATTCAGAAACATCATCAGTTTGTAGTTCAATTTCTTTTACCTACCTTTTATTATAGCACAATGTAATCAATCTCTATGCTCTGTCTAGGGGACAGGCTCTTAGGTGTCTCAAGTTGCACGACTGCACAAAACATTCTTCTTATTAGATTGGGTTTTTGTCTAAAAGTAAAATCTGTAAGAGTGGATACCCATCTAACATATTCTCTGTTTATAAAAACTGCCGCTGGAATACCTGCAAACCAATTTTCACTAATGGACTCACTAATATCTTTGGCTTATGAATTGCAAGTATAGACCATAAAATATGGCAATGACCTTTAACTGATAATAGGTGTGTAATTTTCTATAATGGCTTTGTAATTGCACAGAAAATGCTTTCCTGAGGGATACAAAAACTTACTTGAAAATTACAAGATCGCAGGTGGGTCTGAGAACAATAGAGTGCCAGAAACCAGAACTGATGGAACATGGGCAATAAAAGAACAGACTACAAAAAAAAGCCAACATTTGAGCATAATTAAATCATAGATGCAGGAAGAAGAGAATTGGGGGGATTATTTTGAGAAACAGCATGAGGACTAAAAGAAAAGCACCACCCTTTTAGTCAACATCTAACCAGTAATTTCACACTGTAATGTGAGAGGTGGCAACGGGAGATCATTATAATACAAATTCACTACAGGCTTTTAAATGAGATTTAAGCCGTCATTGTTATGGCTTACAGTGCAACGTGTGACAGTTTATTTTTTTGCAATGTGGCAGAATTTCCTTAACAGTCAAACACAAATTTCCTGGTACCTTGACAGCTTATTAGAAAAATGTTTTTAGGCATGTTGAAGGCACATGTGTATTGTACAACTGCTCACTTTAGTGTGGGATTAAAAAAAAAACAGAGACCAGAAATGCAAAGGATTAAGCTATATAAGGACCTCAGTAAGAACAATATTGATATCCATATCACAAGCAAAGACAAAAGGACCATCCCAAAGCAAAATAATTTCTTTATTTTGTAGTTGCTAATGTTAATATCAGTAGGTATAAGGTTGGAAGTCCAGAAAACCTAAAAAGACAAATAAAAATAAAATATATGTTTTATGAAGCAGAACAGACTATAGGAAAATAATCACCTCTAACCCTTCAAGCTGAACTCCAAGGCCTAAGTACTTTATTTTCTGATTGCATTACATTATATCAAAATTATAATAAATTGAAAAAATTTATCCTTTATCGTCCAATAGGAGAGACATTTTTATGTGTTTGTGACAAAGCAAAAGGCAACAGACCCCCCAACACAAAATGAAAAAAACAAACAAAATCAAAGTGTGTTTACCAAAACTGGATACTCAGATGACATTTAAATATGTGTCCAATATAATCAGGTGGCTGTTACTGTAAACTGTAAAAATAACTGCATTGATAATGCAACACTTATTCAGTTTGTTGGGAGCACTGAAAGTTTAACAGCTTCATGTAAGATGCATCAGCCGTTCACTAAAGGAACTCTCCAATTCAGCAACAGTTTTATGATTGGAGTGGGAGACATTATCCAACAGTGACGTTGTTTTTGCTACTGTTTTCAGTCTCCCACCACCTGCACTGGCTTAAAGGGGCATCCTAGGACAAAGCTAACTTCCTAATGAGTTTGTCTAACCGCTTCCTCTCAGCTACAGATAAGCTGCTGCACCAACAAACTGCACCGCAAAACATATCTGATGCCACAGCAGAATTAAAAAAAAAGGCCTTCAAGGGTTACTTGTGCACTGCAAACGTTCTAAGTCTGCTTGGGTAGAGTCCAATCTGAGCCTTCTGTAAAGAGCACCCATGTACCGTAGTTCCTCCATCTATTTTTTAGTTTAACATGTATGTATTTAAAATAGTCCACTTCCTCAGCAACAATTCCCATGATGTCCACCAAAGTAATTTAGTGGTTCTGTGCCTGCAGAAATACACTAGCTGTTTAGTTTACCTTGCATGGATTAGAAGGAGGTTCTACTGCCATCACTCATGTGGAGATATAAGACACGGTTCTTAGGTCTAAGTGCTTTTGGGTCTTTTACTTGCCACTGAATAATATATCTACAGTAGGAAGTATGGGACAGAAAATCAGTGAAAAAGGAAGCCAAAGACGAATATAAAAGATTAAAGGGTGTAAACAAGAAATTACACTGTACTTTGGTGGTAGAGTACAATGAAATGGAAATGTATCCAATGTATCTATAAAATGAGACATTTATGTAGACTGAATTGAAAATACAGCTAAATAAAAATTTGAAAATAATTATAAGTATTTAGTAGTATGACATATTTCACCTGCAAATTATGTCAGTGTTGCCATTGTCATAATTTTGAGAAGACAAAACTTTAAGGGTTTGATTAAGAGGTTATGGGGTTTGTCACAAAATAAATATGAATGCTTAGTTGATTTTATAGCTTTAAAAAAAGACTGACTGAATCGGATGGGGTTATCTATTTCTTTTAATTTTCACTGTTAATACACAGGATAATGCACAATAATGTATGAAAATGTTCCCCAAATTCAAACTATTTTAAAGGACAAAAAGGTTTACAGGAACCTTCATATTATATAGAGGAGTGGTCTGCACCAAGTGGCTCTTGGCTCTTAATAGTGCCTAAAAATGACATATAGTATATTAATAAATATTATCCTTAGCAGATTAAGTTGTTTTTTTAAAGAACATTTGAATTCCATTTTTAAAACAAAATTATATTCAAGGACCAGAAACGTGTAATTAGATAGTTTTTGTAGTTGACATGTAAACTAATCTTTATTTATTTTTTTATTTTTACATTAAATAATATCGAATGGATAAAAATCTTTCCCACCTATTATTGAAAAAGGCCATGAAACAATTGTCATAAAAATTTAATTCAAATATTCAAAACTACAGTTGTTACGGCACTAAACATTGAAAAATTATTAAAAAAAAGTTTTGAATAATTCTAAGTGAAAAAAATAATTTGAATCACTTGTGATGCATTGGGCATTTCTGTGTGATCTGTTTTTTTTTTTTTTTATAGGTTTTCTGTTCATTAGATGCATCTGATCTTATAAATCAGGATTTGAAAAAACAAAAATGACTGATGATAAAGAGGAATGAAAAACTCAGATACGGTACACTTGCTGTTAAATGTTTAAAAACTAAAAATACAAATTAACAGGTTTTTTTTGAACTGGCAACAGATCTCCTATTGCAGATATATTACAAAAATAATAGGTTGTGCTTTAAATAAAGGTCATTTAATATTAGAGGCTCCAAACCACTTCTATTTAACTTGGCTCACGGTAAAATGTCTATGTGGATTAGGAAGGTTGCGGACCCCTGATATAAGAGTGAGCTGACTCTGCTGCTTGTCACGTCTCTCTTAGCTTAGATGAAAAATATATTTTGTTACAATGAGTAAAAAAAAAAAAAGATACTTTCAGCTGAGACTGTTCCTGTAGATTCTGGGAATAAATACCAGGATGTTTATAAGGTTAAAAAAAAATAATAATAAAGCAAGACTTCAGGAGTACCCCATATTTTTTTTTTAAAGAAAAAGATGAGTCTTTTTTTCCCGGATTTTAAAAGGAATTTAATGAGGAGGTTGTAACAACAATGGGTATTACTAATTTAGGGGACGGATATCCAGCTCTTGCCAAATAAAACTTTAGTGACTCATTTATGGGCTTCATCCCCTGGTAGAAAAACCCAAGATATCTAATTTTATAGAAATTAAATAAACCAATTCTCTAAAACTTGAGGGAATGAGAGAATCCTTTAGCGTTCTTTCTTCTCTCTTGATCTTTATGTAAACTGAAGGGAATTAGGGTTTTTTTCTCTCTCAGTTCAACATTCCCTACTATTCACAAAGCTTCAGCATGTGTTTCTCTTCTCTGAAGCAACAGTTAGACAAAAAAACTGAATCCTGTGGGAGGGGAACAGAAGTCAGTCTGCACCGCCCCAGCAGAAACAAAAACTTTGGAAAGTCCACACATCGTCACATTGCTGAATGCAGCCACATTCCTGCCCCTGGATTACAAAGCCTTAAGGCAACCACCTTTTTAAAAAAAGTAAGTTTTGATTTTTTTCGCTTTCACTCTCTCTTTGCTATTATATTTCCTGAAAGCTTAGAGGGCAAAAGCAAATACTTTTCCTTGACTCTGCGCCAGTCCATTTTATTATTTATCAAAACAATTCACAGGGGTTGCATATCAGTAGATTATGCCTTCAGTGTCAGATATTTCACTTGGGAAAACAGAAACCTCTACAAATGAAGGTGTCTGCTGCTAGTCTAAACTGCTGCTCCAAGGGTTTACCATAAGGACTTAATTCAAACAACAAATCTTCCCTTAAATTGATCCCAAATTAGCAGTTCAGCGTTTCTCTCACACTCTCTAGCAGTTTTCTCTTCGTAATGTTCAGGGGAATAATGAGACTTTCTGGTATCCTTGGAGCTGTGTAAACAGTTTACACGATCTCTTCCTTTCCTCTCTATAAGAATTATATCTGATATCTGATCTCGGCATTGCGGTATTATTTAAAGACGACGATGCTGCAGAGCTTCCTGAAACGTTCTGCCAGAAGTTCACTGACCAGAAGATAACCTCTGGGTTCGGACCCTGATTGAGATTCAGGAAAACAAGCCGATATGTTGCCTCTCTGTCTTCTGAGTAAATTCCTGTTGAACATGATGTTTAAGTGACCAGTGACCTGTCTGTTTTCACAATTGCATTGTTCCGTTTTATTTTTGTTTTTCATGAAAGCATGCTTGGAATTCTTGTAAGGGCAGAAATATACGCTTCTATTGTTTTTATCTATTATAAGTCATGCTTTATTAGCAGCAGAAACTATTTTTGTGTTGCTTGATATTGTTCTGATACAATGGGACTATGACACTTGAAGGCGTCCGGCCACGATTCTTATCAATCACCATATTTCTCTGCTGATTACCTATTTTTTTTCTCTTGACCTTTACCTTCTAAGGGTTTAATTATCTGTTCTTTACCACCACAGTCATTGCCGCTCTACCACCAGAAAAGGAAACTTAAACCACTGACAGAACATCACATTCTACAGGGATCCTGCATTTACACAAAACTTTAAGAGATGGAGGGATATCTGTTGAGGAGCCTCCTGTTGTTGAGCATCGCCCTGGCAGCCTCATGTAAGTCTTACCAGCTGATATTTATGTCTTTCACCTTTTTTATCTAAAGACTTTCTTGTCTCTCTTGTATTTATGGAAATGAAACAGGGTGAAACGTTAGACAAAAGGGCTGCAGATTTAGTCAATTCTGAATCCCTGAATGATAGCCTTTTCAAACTAAAGTTCAAAAGAAGATATTAATCTTTTCTTTGCACCTTAACTGATGCCATTTTTCAAAGAATATAAAAGTCCCTTCTGCGGTTGTTCATGATTTGCAGAGACAGACAATGCTCAGAACGGCTCCTTGTGAAAAACTCCACATCAAAGACATCCGTGGTTTGGAGCTTCTCTTGCTCCAAATGGGATTCTTTACTGACAGGTCACCCGGGGAAACATTTGTTACTGTAGTTTTTAAGGTTTCAGTGCTCTGAAACATTTTTCTTAAAAATGTGTCCCAAGACACAAGAAAGTATTTGGATGCTGATTTTATGTAATCCTTCCAAGTCGTCCCTCATCTATTAACCTGAATGCAGCGGCTGACAAACCGTAACAGATTCAAGCCTGTAATCCTTACAAGGTTTGGAAGACAATGCTGCTCTCCTTTACCAAGGGAGCTGAAATCAGGTTCCATACTCTTTACCTGAGCTCTAAAACTTGCTGCAAAGTATTTCCCATTTTCCAGAAGTGAGATTAATATCTAACACACAACCATATCAGTAGTAAATTGTGTTTCCAAACCTCCCATGAGATTTGAGAAATAATAGATTTAAAAGTGCTTTAAATTAGATATCTTTACTCTGGCTTTAAATTTGTGTAGAGATATTAATATTTTGGTCATGTTCAAAATCTTCCCATTCCAGGAGTCACTGTTAGAAAATGCCAATTTAATTATTGTGGATTCTTTAAAATATGTAAATTTCAAAATCTAGAATGAATAGGTCATTATTCTAGACTAACATAAATAAAAGATTGAAATGTTAGTGTGACAAGAAAATTCTAAATATATAGATGCTCTTGTAAGGCACTTGCAGGACTTTTTTTTAAAGTCACTGTTACATTCTAGTCTTAGTTTAACTTTGAATGGTTTGAGTCTTCTATCCAAAATAAGAAATGCCTACTCTGTCAGTATGATATTTCTAAAAAAACTGAATGTCTGTATATCTGTGAAAGTCATATAACATACCCCGTCCCTTCCCGTCCCATTTGCCGTTTTTAATGTAGTTGAATATTCAGTGGTCCAATATAAAATCTAAAAGTCAAAAAGATATTTTAGTGACAAGTGTTTTTTTTCCCATATTCAAGACTGTTTAAACACAGTCCAAAATAAAATCAATAGTTTAAGCTCTCTTTTGCAGGAAAAGAAAGTAGACGTAACACTTTTCAACTTCCTTTCTAGGAAACTAAGCCTTGCTACCCAAACCAGGCTCCCCTACTGACCTGCTGTATTACAAATCACAGCCTTTCTCCAGGTACTAAGCAGCATCTCAGCATGGGTGCTGGTGGCAGGGATACAGTGCTGCATTTTGGCCAACTGGCAAACCTGCCGAGAGTTTGACCTTATGTAGTTTCACTGCAGGGGATCAGTCTCGCTTTCTGCTGCTACACTTTGCAGGGAGCTGTTTAGTTCAGTCCTAATTGCCTGGATGACACATAGTTCTGAACCCAATATCACTTTTTTTCCCTGTCTTAAATGAGACTCTGGGGAGCTTCCTTTCCTCTTATTTGTGCATCTGCCAGTGCAGCTTTAGGTGAAAACCCAAGGGGAAGTGGAACATTGTTACAGCAGTATTCTGATATTTTGCTCTGGATTTCTGAAGCATTAATCAAAAGTACTGGTGAGAGATACATGAGTTGCTGTTTCTCCTTCATTCAGTATTCATCATTTTTTGTGTCAAATGATTTTATCATTTTCTCTAACATTGTCTCTTGGGATTAAGACTTATTTCTCGGTTAAAAAAAACATGAAGTGTTTTACACCATAGCTTGAATAATTTCTCCAAATTACTCTTTTTCAGAAATGCAGAAATGTGGAAATGTATCGTGGGTATGCGCACTTTATTTTACGGCTTCTTTTTTGATTCAAACCCGATCAACTTAAAGTGACAAGAAACAGATGTTGTGAAAAGCTTCTCAAAAGTAGAAGTAAACACACAAAACTTAAAGTAAATCAAAAATAGCCTGCAGCTCACTACAAATCCCATGACACACTTGGCCAAAGCAGTGCTGCATTGTGTTTTCCTTCAGCTCAGTGCTTTAGCTTTATTTAATCTTTTTATATGTTCGACCATGTTGACAGCTATGAAGCATGACTTTAAGCAACAGCTCCTTTTAAATTCCCACTCAACTTTACTGAAGCGCTTCACCAAAAGAAATAAGCATGGATCTTATATTGCTTTATCAATAAAAAGTCCTATTCAGTATTTAATTAAAATTTCCTTTTTTTTGTATACCTAGAAACCCATCCTCCAATTTCTGTTAATTAAGATGATTTTTGGCTTGGAACAATAGAAAATATGACATTTTGGATTGGGATATTAGATCAGACAAAAAACAACAACAATATATATATATATATATATATATATATATATATATATATATATATATATATATATATAAAATCAAATGAATTTATTACCTGCCTAATTATTGTTTATTTCAAAAGTTATATGACAGTAAAGACCATCTGGAGCACCTATTCCATTCTTTTGTATAAGACTGGAAAGACTGATTATAAGACCTAATACTGGTTTTCTAGTTAAATTTTTTGGTTTTCATTATTCAGGAATTTTGCATATAGGTGAACCACTAATCATGTCTTTCTAATCCAGAAAAGATCACCCCTTTTCTATCCTAAACCTGGAAAATTCAAACATCCGTAATGCTTAAACCAGTCAAAATTCTCTCTTCTTGTTAGCAAATTATCCATAGTCTCTGAGCAGATTTTTTTCAGGCTTCAGTAAAACAGACAATATCAGACAGGTCTTAGTTTCACTACGGTGCCTCCCCATGGGGATAATTTAGTCAAAAACGCCACTGTTTTACAAATCGTATATGCTTTGGCCCAAACTGTTGTTTCTCAGTTTCTCACCTCTAGTGTCACAAAAATATTTGATATCTTCTCTTAATCTCTTAATATATAATAAATATTACATTACACAATCAGCCTTATCATACCAGCTGATTTGGAATGTAATACTGTTTTTAGGAGTATAATCTTTATGTCCTATTGGAGAACCTGTAATCCACTGCCTAAAATGTTTATTTAATGCCCCGTGCCAAAATAAATTTAGTTATCCCTCTTAGCACCCATTTCTTAAATAATGCCCATGGTTAATCCATATTAGTTACATAGGTCAGCTAATTGAACAGAAATAAAAAAGAAGCTGATCATTCTGAAACGCCAATTTGTCCTTTGAAAAATGACTGAACAAAAAACATGTCGTTTTTACTTAGCATCATTTAAATTTTTAAGAACTCTGGCTTTCTACAGTCATGTTTCATCAATCCATCACACCTGTTTATTAAGAAGAATATATACATTATTTAATGTAATAATATATTAATTTGAATGAATTCATATGAAATGTTTGTATTTAACTAGATTAAATAGTAGACAGTCTCTATATAGGGTTATATAGTGTTTTTCAAGTCAGGATGCTTGACACTATATTTAGTCATCCACCCATTCACTCACACAGTGAAGGTGACAAGCTACGCTGTAGCCACAGCTGCCCTGGGGCTCTCAGCTGCTGTACAGGTGCCACAGAGCCCTCTGACCACCATCAGCAGGCAAAGGTATTGACTTTCCCAAGGAAACAACAAATATATGCAAGTTTGAAAGAGAACATTATCCAAAAAAAGATAATGTACAGGAACCTTATAAATAGCTAAGTTTAAATGGAAAGCATTTCTTTAATGGTAATCATTCATTAAAAAGCAAAAAAGAACTACAAACAGAAAGACCATGACATGCTGATGGGATTAAAGAATACCAATACCCCCTTTGAAACATATTTCTCTAAAATATGTATACTCAGTAAATATCCAGAAACAACATACAAAGGAGATAACCTTGGTAATATCATAGTACAATAAAATGTCTTATGTCTGGTTATGTAATAGGCATCTTCCCTGCCTGATTTTGAATCTCTTCTTTGAACCCATCTCCTCTTCTTGGTCTCTGAGGCTATCTGAAATGTGGACTTTTTAAGCTGTCCTTGGTATTGATTTACTATTTGTTTCCATTATACTTCTTTCTTACCAAGTGTATAATCATTATAATATTTCAATATAGGTTCTTAAATAAATAGTTATAATTTGATTTTGGATTTGGTTTATAATGCTATCATAATACACCTGTTTATTTATTCTGTGTGCTGTACTTTCTTCCTGTCATTGTTTAGAATGCTTTATGATTAAAGCTGGTACAGTACGGTAATATATTAAAAGGTTGGGGTTCAAACCTGAATAAGCCACCGGACTCAAAGCAACAAGTAAATTATTAAAGTGTCAGAGGCAGAAGTTAAAATCACAACATAAGTTGTATTTTCAGAAATACTTTCTTGAATATTTGTATTTATTCCATTAACTGTAGGTGTTGGGTAATATTCTGCTTTACTGGCTTGTTGTTACATGGAAGCTAGCCACGTGCCACCTCCTTAGCAAACAATTTTCTGATTATGTTTTTCAGACCAAACACTATAATCACTATCACAAAAGCTAGCTGTGGCAGTTGGACAGATTTACAATTATCTTTGCGTCTGACTGAAGTCTTTGTGATTATGCACTGTGTGTGTGCAGCATTTCCTGGCTGGGAAATAGTGTTGAGCATGCCCCCTGCTGCAGCAGCTTTCCCAGAGGGACCCAGACTTCATGATGGTAACTGCCAGACCTCCTGCTGCACTTTTGCCAACCCCTGAGTCTCCCGCCACGGGCTGAGGGAAAAGTACAAAAGTGATTAGTCCGTAGCTGGAAGGGGGGTGGGTGGGAGCTAGAAGGCTGAAAATGGATCTTAAAGA